ATATATATATATATATATATATATATATATATATATATATATATATATATATATATATATATATATATATATGGGGATATGTGATTGTTGCTCTTCTATGCAAAATAACCTATGAGTGATATATTAGTATTTTTATGGAATTATAATACTTCTCACAATTTGTTATCTTTCTTTTTGATGTTGTCAAAGGGGGATAAGCATATGCAAGACGAAGTAGGGAAACACAAAATCAGGGGGAGCCTTCAATAAATACAAGAAATGCATCGTCGCAAGTTTTGCCATCATAAAAAAGAGGAGTATGTGAGTACAACTTCGTCATCAAATATTTTGCATGATGTCAAAATTGGGAAAAGTTATCACTTTTGTACATTGGACGATATCCATATGTCTTGTGGTACTCCTATGCATTAGAGGTCTTAGAAATTATTAAAAATTATTTTTAAATTGATCCAAGTCATTAAAAATAAGTTTTTGCATAAATTTTTATTGCATGTATCGACACATATGATTTTCAGGTTGACACATGCAACTCAATTTTGAAGTCTGTAGCCTCTAGAAGGCTCAGGTCGACACATATTGAAGCATTTCTGAAATTGCAGAAATTCTTATTTTATGTGTCGACACATACAGTTTTCAGGTCGACACATTTACTATCGTTTTAAAGACTGTAGCCTCTAACTTATTTCAGTCGACACATACCTTCTTTCAGGTCGACACATACTGCTTAAACTTAACATATGTGTCGACAAATACGAGTTATAGGTTGACACATACTGAATGTTTTGGTCAATTTTTAAAATCTTTTTAATTCCAAATAATTCATTTTCCCTAAATTTCCAACATTATAAGTACTTCATTCATGAATCATTCATAACTTGGTGATACCATAAAATTAGCCTACATTTTCTCTTCATCTTCAATCTCCAACCTATGCATACACACTGATATTCCGTTGTAACGATTTTCTGTTGGGGTGCCATCTAGATGAGGTTTGATAATGTCAGATTAGGTTCTTGTGTAGCCAAAGATATTGGTTGGGATTTGTAGGGGTCTTCATCTGAAAAAATTGCGGGTTATCCTCCAAGATAATTGGTTGATTTGTAGGTTTTCGTGCAAGACATTCAAGAGGTAGTTGCGGCCAAGTGAAGTCCCTTGGAGATAAAGAATGCAAGGAATCCTTTGGAGATAAAGAACGCAAAGGAAGTAGCGAGAGAACGACAAATTACAATTGAAATCTTGTGTTGCAATAGTTGAAATTGACGGTGCACGAAAACTTTGGAGATAAAGTATGCAAAGGAGAAGCAAGATCCAAATAGTCAATTTACATCTATTGTGTCTTGGTCATTCTCAATATCAAAAGAGGAGAAGGGGTTGAATCAACAACAAGCATTGGGTTTGTGGAGTTGCTCTTGAACACTTCTCTTGTATCAACTTTTTTGCATAGTAAGAATTATCCTAATTCTATTGGAATTAGGTGCAGACGTACCCACACGCGAGGACGAAAATAGAGAACTGTGAAGATAAATCCTCGTTTCTCTTTTATTTTTGCTTTTACTTGCTTTGATATTCATCAATCAATTTGTCTAATATCATTGTGTTATCAATTGAATTGTAAGAAAATTCCTGGACTATTTTTGATTCAGAATCAAGTATTGATATTGCTTATAATCACTTTTGATTATAAGTGGTTTTGTATATCAACACAACTTAAGAAAAAATTCTGAAAATTCACTTGCACACCAAGTTTTCGACAAATTGATTTTGTTTGTTCTTTTTAATATTACCATTGAAATTCGAATTTCTAGTAACTCGCTACAAACGATTAATAACGTGTTACCTGTTATAAGTTATATTAATTCAGTTTAGTATATTCATTCCATTTTCAATTTATTATATAATTGCGTATCCGAGTTTCCAACAACTGTTCGTATAGATGACTCTTTGAAAAAACTTCCCCTAATTTAAAATGATATGTATTTTAAATTGAGTTTTAGGGTATCACATCATTGATACAAATTCAAGGTTCTAATCATCCATATTTAATGAACTCTTTTATTTGAAGAGATAGTCGAAATAAGTGAATAAGATTTTTCCCTCACAATTCCTCTAGTAAAAAATCTCCATTTTTAAAGATTTTTAAAATAATTTAAAAAAAAAATGAATTCTAACAAGTTTGACTAAAGTTAACGAGAATAAAAAACTAGTCAAAAGTATACAAGAAATCCATTCCCAATATTAATTTTAATATTATTTTCAAAAAATAATATTATTATATTTACTGAGTCTCTTTTAATAGAAGTGTTTATTAAAAATGAAAAAAAAATCTTTTAACTGTAAAAATATTTGTTTTATTATAAATTTTATGTTCTTTTTTACTTCCTAGACTTTTAAAAAAAAAGCTTTCAAAATTTTATTTATTTTATTATTAATATATGTCCTTTTTCTCTATTTTTTGACCCAATCAAACCATAAAATATTTTTGATAAAATCAAATATTTTTCTTATCTATTACTATTTTCTCTAACTACTCTATTAAAATTTCCTTTAATATAAAATAGGATTTTTTAGGTTTAATTACAAATTCAAACTAATTTAACCTATCTCTCACATATTTCACTTAAAATTGATGATCTATAATTTTTGTTGACATGTATTACATATATTGTTGAATTGCATGTCTCACAAGAATTCTTATACAATAAAATGTTACTTAAATGACAAGTCATTAAAAAATAAATAAATCATAATTATTTAATGAAAATACATGTGAGATATTAAAAAAAATAATTGAAATGTGAAGATTAATGAGAGGAGTGGTCTGAAATATGAGACAAATATTTTGATTAAGCATTTTTTTATCAATATAGAAGTTAAAACAATATAAAACACAAGCTTAAAATATTTATAACTTTTTAAAATGAAACACTAATTTTAGGATTTAATGAAAAATATTTTTACATTCTACAAATATTTTCTCATATATATTTTTATAATATATTTCCCGTATGTTTATTAGTGGATTTGTTTGCTAAATTGCTACTCATTGTTTTAATTGTTTTAATAATTTCAATATTTTGATACGAAAATTGTATTAGTTCAGTTTTATTTATTTATGAGTATAATTCAGTTTTGCATAAACATCTAATAAGAACCAAATATTTTGCCACTTGCTATCTTTAATTTTCAGATTCAATTTCAATTTAGTGTATCTTATATTAGAAAAATGGAATCTTAATTTCTTTTTAATGAGATCCAATATATATCATGAACAAAGGAGAGGGAATAAGTTAGTTCAAGAAGATTACAAAAATTTAAAGAAATATATGTTTAATTTATTTTTTACAAAATCATTCATAATATCAAGCAGAATGAAATAAAATATAATGATAGAATTGATGAATGTGAAATTCGTTAAAAAATCAGCATAAGAGTTATTTTTCCTATAAATGTGAGTGATGACTAAGAGAGAAAATCTATTCTAAATAAAGCAATAGTGTCATCTGTTTCTAAAAATTAATAGAACTAACTTGTGGTTGGAAAAAGTTTTGCCAACCAATCTGGAATCGGTCTTCATCCAAAGCTTAGACCAACCCTTATTTATACTAATCTCCATAGCTTTAATCACCGCTCCAAATTTAGCATGAATAGAGGAGACACATACCAGGTTTTTCGCAAAATCTAGTAAGAAGTCTCCCCGGTGATTTTTAAAAATCCCACCACCTCCGGCGTTTGAATTGCTGTGAGTGAAGACACCGTCACAATTTACTTTTTGTCATATTGGATTAGGAGGGACCCAAATGATTTCTTTGATAATGGGAACTTTGGGGGTTGTATGCTAACTCTGAAAGCCTTAATGAAATAGAAATCCATCATATTTATATGGGCAGGTGTGAGAGACAAATTCCCGGACAATTGGACCTGAAAGATAATTCTCTCGATAGCCATAGTTGGAGAGATCATGAGCGAGTTATGCTTTGAATTGTTTATGTTAAGCCAGATCTGTGAGAGGGTGTTAATGAAGCAACAGAGAGAACTAGAGCAGTATGAGGGGATTTGTTACGATAATTGATATCCAATCAAATTTCTATAGAGATGAGATTATTGGAAATTTGTAACTTGTTCATGAGCCACCTCCAAAACCCTTTAGAGAAGTTGCAATCAAAGAGCAAGTGATGGTAAGTTTCAGAATTGCCACGACAAAGATAACACCTAGAGGCCAAAGAAATACCTCTCTCTATAATAAAATCATCTGTAGGAATTTTTTATAGATCATTTTCCATACCAAGATCGACTTACTAGGAGGGATGTTGGAGTGCCAAACCGCATTGCACCAAGGAACTTTTGGAAGCAATTTTGACTTGAAAAAGTAAGCATCTTTAAGATCCAAAATACATGTTGTATTGTTGCACCAGTAAAGAGAATTTGGGGTATGAACAGAAGCTAGTCTGTTTTATTACGCAGAAAAGAGAACTAGTCGAACCATTCAACCAGAAACATCAAACTCCTATTGAAAGAGAGGGCATCAATTTTATCTTTAAAATTTATACCTCTATTTATCGGCTGCTGCAAAATCAATGTTGTCGATGAAGGGATCTCCGGACCAAAAGCCAATCCAAAACTTGATAAATACCTAAAATTGATTTATATGACACTGAATCTCTTTTAACTAATTTTATTTAAAAATTGATTATAACTATGGCCAATAGAATACTAACCCTAATAAATAAAAAATAAAAGACTAAATAAAAAAATAGAAATAAAGAAAACATGTATCAAATATATATTAAAAAATAAAAATTCTTATTATCTAAAGTAGTTATTTTTAATTATATTTTGAATAGTAGGTAGATTAAAGTCCATTGGTGTTGGTTCCAAATTAGTATATAATATGATATAATATCTCATTTGAAGATGTGTGAAGTTGTCAATTATTCACCAAAAACTCCTTTTTCCGTTCCGGTTAGAAACCCAAACCCGAACGGAAAACCCGAAAGACAAAGATGGCATACACCGAATCCGATTCAGCTCTTCTTCTACCATCAGGCTCCGGCACAAAGGAAAAAGCACCAGAAGACAAATGGCATTTAGCGTACATGATCTATTTCTTCCTTGGGTTTGGTTATCTTCTTCCATGGAACGCATTCATCACTGCCGTTGATTACTTCTCTTACCTTTACCCTGATGCAAGCGTGGATCGAATCTTCGCCGTTGTTTATATGGTCGTTGGTCTCTTTGGGCTTACGCTTATTATTCTGTATAGACACAAATCTCATGCCTATGTTAGGATTAACATGGGTCTTCCTCTATTTGTTGTTTCGTTGCTTGTTGTTCCTTTGATTGATGCTTTTTATGTTAAGGGTCGGGTCGGGTTTTATGGTGGGTTTTATGTTGCTGTCGGAGCGGTTGGGGTTGCTGGTGTGGCGGATGCTTTGGTGCAGGGATCTATTGTTGGCTCTGCCGGCGAGTTGCCGGAGAGGTACATGCAAGCTGTCATCGCTGGCACTGCTGCTTCTGGTATTCAATTCACCTTTTACTTTCTTACTATTTTTGTTTTTTGTTTTTTCTCTTTTTTTTTTATTAAGTTTGAGACTTTATGGATGCATTGTTTGCTTTGTGTCTCATTTGTTATTTATATATGTTGATAGGTATAGCCATCTTAAATTTAGGTTTGAATGGAAATTACTAATGTGTAAGGATTTTTTGTTTATAGAAATTTGGGAAGTTAAATGTTTTTTTCACATCAGGGGTCGTTGTTTCTTTCCTAAGGATATTTACAAAAGCTGCTTACACACAAGATGTCTCTGGCTTACAGAAGAGTGCAAATCTCTACTTTGGTGTATCAATTGTGATTATGTTCATATGCATGGTTTTATACAGTTTAGTAAACAAACTTCCCATTATGAAGTACTATGATGAAATTAAGATTCAGGCAGTTGCGGTGGAAGACGACACCGGTCCTTCGACTGGATCCGTATGGAGGTCGACTGCATGGGAAACTGTTGGAACAATCAAGTGGTATGGATTTGGCTTGATACTCATTTATGTTGTGACTCTTGCGATATTTCCCGGCTACATTACAGAAGATGTTCACTCTGAACTTCTCAAAGATTGGTATCCAATTCTCCTTATCACTTGCTTTAATGTGTTTGACCTTGTTGGCAAAAGCTTTACTGCAGTATACCTTCTGGAGAATGCAAAAATTGCTATAGGATGTTGTGTAGCAAGACTCTTGTTTTTCCCTCTCTTCTTAGGTTGCTTGCATGGTCCGAAATTCTTCCGGACGGAGATTCCTGTCACGATACTGACTTGTGTTTTAGGGCTCACAAATGGATATCTTACGAGCGTATTGATGATTTTAGCTCCTAAAACTGTCAAGTTGCAGCATGCAGAGACTGCAGGGATTGTGAGTGCATTGTTCTTAGTTGTTGGTCTTGCTTCTGGGTCTATAATAGCTTGGTTTTGGGTCATATGACCTGTAAATTTTTATATATCTAAGATCTCCGAAACCTACACCATCTACTGTTGGCTTCACTCAACAAAATATCAAACAGGGATTGGTTTTCTTAGTTTGTTTATCGAACAAGCCAAAACTTGTAAAAATGTATAGGAGGAAATAGTGTTGTTTTCTTTCCTTAACCGTAAAATCACCTTTACAGCCACTATGTTGGACCCTTTGTCATTGTTTCATTCTTGCTTTGCTATTAGATGGACAAACAAAATGTAAAGACTAAGAAGGTAAGATCTGTATGTCAGTTTAAGATTCTATCTGTTTTTATGAATTTGCAAGAAATATAAATTCTTTCCTTAAAATTATCTAGTTATCCGAGAATCCAAATCACTTTAAGTGTGGACTATTTCTGTGTTTTTTTTGTTGAGAATTTCTTATTTCACTTCATGTCCAAATACAATTCCTAAAATGTCCTTTAAAAACCGAAAATATATTTTTGATTCGTATCTTTTTTATTTTTTAAGTTACACTCACGTAAAATCAGAAATACACTTCTGATAACCAGAAATACACTTCCAGTTCCTAAACAACCACTGCATATATTATGTTGTACATTGAGATAATGCCAAAGAACGTGTTAATGACAGAGCAAGTTATACACCACCAGCAATAATCAATTACTATACGCAAACAATCGTTCTGAAGAAATTAATTAATTGCCTCTTCAGCAAGATATTAATTAATTAATTACTATGTGATATGTCTAGTCTTTACAAATTTAATACTATGTGATATGTCTAGTCTTTAAAAAATTAAAATCAGCAGGAACGACAGGTGTATTTCCGGTTTTTATTATTAATCACGATGACATGATTTTAGCAATTATTTGCATTTCCACTACTAATTAGTCCAAGTTATTATTCTTTCTCAACGTTTCTATTAAAAAATGTAACAAACGTTTATGTCAAATTATTGGCCATGTTCTATTATTTGCATTTCCACTCAACATTTCATTAGTGTTTTGGCGGTGCATCGAAACTTCTCGAGTTCATATAGGTTGAGAATATAATTTATGGTGTCGAAATAGGTTGTTGTCAAAATACATAATATTGTCGAAACGTCGAAGTAGTGTACTTCGATAGGAATTCGACGTATATTTTTATTTTTTGTTTTAGCATAATTAGGTTATTTGGATTTTGCTTACGGAGCAAGCAAACTCAACCTATACATAAGAAGTTACTCTATTGTTGTAAAGTAGTGATTCATTTGCAGTTGCAAAGAATAAATTTATAATTTGAGAGCAGAGAGAAACTTTGCAGAAATTCTCTTCTTCCTTCTTAGTTCAAACCCTAATTTCTCCTTCTTCTCTAATTCATCTTTTCTTTTCTTCTTCTCCATTATTGATTGTTGAATAAAATCATCTTGCAATCAAGGTTGATTGATTCACTCGAGTGAATAGTGAAGAACAAGAGGCGAATTAGATCGGTTGATTGAATCTTGTTCATCAAGATTGATTCAGAATTCTCTATTGGGTTGGTGTAATTCCAACATTTGGTATCTAGAGCATCAGCTGAGTGATTCGTGGGAAGCAAAACGCGATGGCGGTGAATCATCCAAACAAACACATTCCGGTGAGTCTCTTGATTCTGAAGAGTCAAAATTATGAGAATTGGTGCAAGCAAATGAAGGTTGTTTCTGTTATCAAGATCTTTGGGATCTTGTGAAAGAAGGAGTAACACCGCTTGCAGAAGGAGTAACACCGCTTGCAGAAGACGCGGCCAATGAAGAAAAAGCTGCACACAAAGAATTGAAGAAGAAAGATTATAAAGCTCTCTTAATAATTCATCAATGCATTGATCCAGACAATTTTGATAAGTTGGGTGATGTTGAATCAACAAAAAAAGCATGGGAAATTCTGGAGAAATCGTTTGGAGGCGCATAAAAGGTGAAAGAGGTGAGATTACAAATTCACAAAAGAACTTATAAATTGCTTCAGATGGGAGAAAATGAAAGCATAATGATTTCTTCACTAGGGTTATGAAACTGGTGAATCAAATCAAGATATGTGGAAAAACGTTGACATCAAGATCAATTATCGCAAAGATCTTGAGGTAATTAGATCCAAAGTTTGACCACGCGGTAGTTGCCATAGAAGAGTCGAAAGATTTGTCAACATTGACAAAGGAAGAGCTTCAAGGGACACTTGAATCTCATGAACAAATAATGGCTGAAAGATCTGAGAGCAAGTCAAAAAGTGATGTGGCTCTGGATACGCAATCAGCAAGAGAAAAGAAAGACAAAGGAAAATGATTCGACAACAAAGCTAGAGGAGGCTACAATAATTAGACTAGTCGAGGAAGCTGACAAGAAGGAAATGTGTCAAATTAGAGAAGACCATCATACCAAAGCAACCAAAGAGGTGGTGTTGCAGGTAGAGGAAGAGGTGGTAGTCGAAAACCTGACAAAAGTCACATTTAGTGTTTCAATTGTCAGAAGTATGGTCACTACTCTAATGATTGTCTTGAAAAACAAAAGAATCAAGAAAATGATGCAAAGTTTGCTAAGCATGAAGAAGAAGAGATGATGTTAATGGTCAGAGTAAGAGATGAAGAAAAATTCAAGGACCAATGGTACTTGGACTTAGGATGCTCATCACACATGTCTTGAAGGAAAGATTGATTATCAACATAAAGCCCTCGATGAAGAACATGGTGAAATTTGAAAATTATAATACTCTGGCAGCTGAAAGTATTGGTGATGTTCTAATTATGAGGAAAGATAGAAAAAGGTCAGTAATTTTAAATGTGTTGTACATACCAGGTATGAAAAGAAATTCGCTCAGCGTATGAAAGTTGGTCGAAAAGAAATACAAGGTGTCAATTGAAGACAAGATGAGGAGATTTATCGACTCAGGTGGAAGGTTAATCTTGAAGGCTTCTATGTCTCATAATAGAACCTTCAAGGTTGAACTTAATGCGATGGAGCACAAGTACCTTGCAACTGCACCTAGCAGTGATGAATGGATATGACACTATAGACTAAGCCATCTCCACTTTAAAGACATCAAAGATTTGAAAAGAAGAAATATAGTTTCAGGATTACCAGAAGTCGACATTCCAAATGAAGTATGTGAGTAATGTGTGCAGGCAAAGCAACACAAGAATAACTTCAGCAAGGATGCAAGAAGCAAGTCTAAGACAATTCTTGAAATCATATACTCTGATGTTTGTGGTCCTATCATCGATTAATTTATTTTAATTTATTTATCTGTGATTTTTAATTGAATCATTATGAATTTATAGGATTTAATTAATTGTTGTGTAGTTGTGTGTGTGTGTGTGGGGGGGGGGGGGGGGGGGGGGGTAGAGAGAGTTACAATTGATTTGATTTATTTAGAATTTTAAATAATTAAATAATAGTAATTTTAGTAGATTTATTTAATTTAAATAATAATATTGATAGAATATTTAATTACTAGATTTAATAGTAAAATAAATAGAAGTATGAGGAATTAGAGGCATTATGGTGATTGTGGTAATAAGTAAGGGCAAAGTAGAGAGTTTGTGTGAGTAAGTGAGGGTAAAGTTGGGAAATCCAAAACTAAGAGATTTTGTTATTATAAAAAGGAGGTTAGAGTTAGAAGGAACTTTTTACAGTACGTGAGAAGAACCATAAAAAAATCTAGGGCAAGAACAAGTGTAAGAGAAGAGGCTAAGAGTTTGGGAAGAGGGAATTCTATTAAATAAAAAAGATTCATTGTTGCTAGGATAATTAGGTAAGGATGGGAATTGGGTTCAATAATAATAGTGTTATGACAGGGTAGAGTAGGTTTCAATTTCATTTGATTTATAATGAAATTTTTTTAGTAATCCATGAAAAACTTGGTATGTCTATGAACTGTGAAATAAATTATGTGTAATAATGTTGATCGATCATGAATTGGAATAAATTAGGAACATGTAATTAGGTCTGTTATAGAATTGAACAATTGAGACTGGAGACACGACCACGTCATATCAAAACTAGATTTTTAAGAAAAACTACAGTGACAATCGATTGTACTAGATAACAACCAATTTCACCTGTGTGAATTTTTGGAAACCACACTAATGACAATCAGTTGTGGTATATAACAATGAGTTGTTTTACATTAAAAAGTAACTTTTTAAATTGAATATTGATGAAAACCGGTTGTGGGATGTGTCAATGAGTTGCCGTGTCTTTAAAACGTAAATTTTTGGGCCCCATGGGCAATTTCCAATTGTGACAATCAGTTGTCACAGTTTTGAAAAAAAATATTTTTCGAACTATGGCATGTCATGACGTTTTATCTCATAACTTTTTAACCGTGTATACCGCTTAAAGTGTTAGGAATATAAGACACAAAGTTATAACATGATAGAGATATGTGAATTGTTTGACTATTATTCCTATGTCCACTATGCATGTGAAGTTGATTGTTCGCATGTTGTTTTTACATGCTTTGACGTTTTACCTCATAACTTTTTAACCGTATATCCAAATGGAGAGACATTTAAAGTGTGAGGAAGCTAAAACACAAAGATATACAATTATAGACATAGGTGAATTGTTTGAATATTATTCTTATGCTTACTATCTTGATGAATTTATTGGTTTATATGTTTGGTTGATGAATCAATGCATTGTTGTGATAGTGTTGTGTGATAATAATGTTGATATGTTGATGTTGTGAGGATAATGTTTTTAAGGTGTTTATGACGTGGTTGTGATATTGATGTGGTGTTGAACATGAATATTAAGTTTTGAGAATTATGTGTTGTTGTTACATGATTGTACGCTTATGAGTGTGCATATGTTGAGTGTGAATGTTAATGTTGTTGTTGGATATAGTAATATTAATTAATCTTGTGTATGGTGTATGATGTTATGATGTTATTTTTAATGATGTTGTATGTTAAAATAGTGCATTCTATTTTGATGGTGATGATGTTGTTGGTGGCATACACGGCCAGAAGAGGGGCCAATGTAGATGCGTTATTATT